TGTCCGTAGGGCTTGTCTGAGTCATTTGACTGCAGATAAAAAACAAAATTAAAACTTTAACCGATGTAAAATGAGCTTGTCAAAATCAGAGCGAGAGTCTATTATATTAAATGACGCAAGAGGAATACAACATCCTTTCTATTACGTAAGTCAGAGTAAAGATGGTAAAATATATGTAAGAAAAAGAAAGGTTCCATTAGCGAATGCAAAAGCGACAACATTAAGGTGTCTGGCAAGGGTGAAGTCCACGAAGCCCATATAAAACCTTCTATTCAAACTGAAAAGTCAATAGAACCAGAAGAAAAGAAGCCAGATGTTCTTTCAATAACGAACCAAGAGCTTATTGCAAAGTTCGTGAATTTCATTGAAAAACAAACCGAGTCAAAGAACCCTGACCCACCAGTGAAAGAAGTTGAGACAAAAGAGAATGTACAGTTCATTGAAAATGTCAAGAAACAACTTCCACCACGAATGCCAAGAAGAAGAGTGAGAATAATGAAGTAAATAGATATTTTTATCCGAAGTAAATACATGCAGAACGAACAGTTAAACGAATTTACTCCAGCAGAGCATATTCATCAGATTCGCTCATATTTCGATATCATAGACAATGCAGTTCAAATTGGTGACACTAATAGAAAATATTCTGACGCAAAGATTCCATCACAACCTGGAACTGCTAAAGATAACACATGGGTAACATTCAATCTCTCACCTCCTGGTGAAAATATGTTGGACCTTTACAATACATTCATTACGTAAAAATGGAAGGTCAATTTATTGTAGATAAAGAAATTGGTTCAGGTTCCAATAAAACAAATCCACCAGGATTTTGGATTGGTTTCGATGACGCTTTCTATGCAGTTGCTGGATATCAAATCCTTGCAAATGGTCGTATCGTATATTCTCAAGACAACGCAAGAGAAGAAGCATATATAACTTCAAACTCACAAACTACCGAACAAATAAAGAAAGTAGATGTTTTTCAAAGACTCGACATGAAGATGTTATGGAGTCATTCGGAACATGCAGAACAGGACAAATTGTTAGTGGTCCAATTACAGCAGGAAAATCATTTGATTTTAAGCTTCGTTTAAGAATTCCTGTTAGAAGATTCCTTCCATTAGAAGCTATTCGATTTATTCCAGCTTTTGCAGGAAACATTCAGCTTAAAGTAAAGTTCAGTAGCGACGCCTTACAATGCACATCTATATCTGTAAATGATATCATTGCTTTCAATCCAACTCTTAAAGTTGCATTTGCTTCAGATTCAAATCCACCGACAAATAAATTTGTTCCATGGAATGAACCATTCACTATGATAACGAAGGCAGTAGAAGCTAGTGGAACAGTTACTATTACAACTGTAACCCAGCAACTATTTCGAACAAAGATGGATTTTAATGAATGTTTCATTCATCCAAAGTCATCTCTTTAGACCCTAACATTTATACAGAACTTGTAGAACATTATACAAACGAGGCTTTATGTTTTCCTGTTAAAGTTATGGATTGGATTCCTATGGACGGTTCATTCTCAAAGAATACAGATAGTTCAAGTGCAACATTTACAGCAGCTTATACGCCTATTAATGTTAAAAGTATTTGGGCACTATTTAGAAAAGAAAGACAACTATTATGTTAATTTTGAGAACCCTAAGTTTAAATATCTTCAGCTTTCCATGGGAGCTTATGGAAATATGCCTGCAGAACCTGAAAAATCATATGGACCTGTATTTTATGAAATGGTTGCGAACGCCTGCAATACAAACAATGATATGATAGGATTTAATGAAGATGTTATGAGGTCATTGGTGGATGATGGTAGTGTGGAACATAAATGGGATAGCTATGACAACACACATTTCTTATGTGGTTTTCCAACAGAAGTGGACTTTTGCTTCCAGCAAGGTCAAACATCTACTGCTCCAATAACATACAAATTGTCTGTTAAAGGACCTATTGAACTAGCAACTGAAAATGTACCAAAGCCACTTATTGGATTTATGAGGGATTGTTGCTTTGCCATTCAGGTAAGACAGTCAGGCATCCCCATAATAAGATTAGATGACTATAACTTAGCCGCGGACGACAGTGAGGAATAAAGGATGAACGTTTATTTTTAAAGCTTATAAATGAGTTCTTCATCAAGCTCTCGTGAACCTTCACCATCTATGAAACAAACTTTACCAAACGATTATGGAGCACCTATTGAATATTTCTTACGAGCTGCACAATGGCAAAGAGCAGTCTCACCAAGGTTAGGTGTTCCACCAGCTCCTGTCAAAAATAGCATTTGGTCAAGTCCTTATATAAAATATGGTCTCCCACTAGGTTTGCTAGCTACAGCAGGAGCAGTTATGATGTTGAAAAGAAATAAAGCAAATGTTGTAAATAATACTGAAGTAGCTGAAGTTAAACAAACTCCAACACCTTCGCCAAAACCAACGCCTTCACAAGCAAAACCTTCAATGACTCCTGAACCTATGGAAGTACAAACTCCTGTTCAAAAGTCAACTCCTAAACCGACTCCAACATTTAAACCAGAACCTACTCCTCAAATAAATCGTAAAACTCCTGCGTTTCCTTACTGAAAAATAACGTTATTTTTATTTAATATTAAAATTTTTATTTGATTGAAATGACAAATAAAGTCACTGAAGCAATGAAACAAAAGTTTTTGGTAGAATACATTAAATCAGGAACTGTTCCAGAAGGTTTTTACATTCATACTATGAAGGATGGTAGAGTTCAGTTTAGAAAGATAAAGCAACCATTAGATAGAGAAGGTATATTAAGGAAGATTAAACTTCATGAGGACAACATTGCTAAACTTAGGAAGAAGTTAGAAGAGTTGGAGAAAGGAAGAGAGTTATAAAGCAATGAATTCAACAAGGTTAGAAATGAGGGTAGAAATGAGGTTAGATCTACCCTTCTACCCTAAATTTATTTTTGCGCTATGTTTTCATACGTGTGAGGGTGGTGATATCATTAATTTTTAAGTTTATTTTTATATAAATGACGAAAACTATTGAGATAACAAACTACAACGGTCATGAGTTCAAGAATTTGTTCTTCGTTCCTCGTGAAAATACATTCTATCAGATACGAGGGAGAAAGGGTAAAGTTAGTTTGAGCGTTTATGAAGGAATGAAGAATGGAAAGTTTATACAAGCATACGATACAAACGGTAAACGTGTTTCATTAGCTTTGTCAAAACTTACTAACATTTATTTTGACAGTGACTTTGACCTATATGAAGAAGAAAGTGAGTCAGAAGATTATGAGCTGTTATGTGAAGCACAGCAATGGGAGGAGTTGCAATACTTTTGTAAGTGAGAACGTTTATTTTTACATTAATGAAGTCATTAGTGGTTGGCGGTTTGTAAATATTTAAGGTTAAGTTAGTGTTGTCGTTTGTGTTGTAAAATATACGTTACTGGTTTTGTAAATATTTAAGGTTAAGTGGTGTACGGAGGCGCGCAGTGACTCAGTACACGACAGTTAGTATCCCTAAGTCGTGTACTGTGGCACTGCGCGCCTCCGTACACCACTTAGCGGTTTTGACACTTTACGAAACCAGTAACGTATATTTTACAACACAACCATAACACCAACTTAACCTTAAATATTTACAAAACCATCTGACACATAAACGACTTCACTAACAACTTCACTAACGACTTCACTAATGACTTCATTAATGTAAAAATAAACGTTCTCACTTACAAAAGTATTGCAACTCCTCCCATTGCTGTGCTTCACATAACAGCTCATAATCTTCTGACTCACTTTCTTCTTCATATAGGTCAAAGTCACTGTCAAAATAAATGTTAGTAAGTTTTGACAAAGCTAATGAAACACGTTTACCGTTTGTATCGTATGCTTGTATAAACTTTCCATTCTTCATTCCTTCATAAACGCTCAAACTAACTTTACCCTTTCTCCCTCGTATCTGATAGAATGTATTTTCACGAGGAACGAAGAACAAATTCTTGAACTCATGACCGTTGTAGTTTGTTATCTCAATAGTTTTCGTCATTTATATAAAAATAAACTTAAAAATTAATGATATCACCACCCTCACACGTATGAAAACATAGCGCAAAAATAAATTTAGGGTAGAAGGGTAGATCTAACCTCATTTCTACCCTCATTTCTAACCTTGTTGAATTCATTGCTTTATAACTCTCTTCCTTTCTCCAACTCTTCTAACTTCTTCTTAAGTTCAGCAATGTTGTCCTCATGAAGTTTAATCTTCCTTAATATACCTTCTCTATCTAATGGTTGCTTTATCTTTCTAAACTGAACTCTACCATCCTTCATAGTATGAATGTAAAAACCTTCTGGAATAGTTCCTGATTTAATGTATTCTACCAAAAACTTTTGTTTCATTGCTTCAGTGACTTTAGTTGTCATTTTACTCTAAGGTGAAGCTAGCACAGCGATAATGGATTTCATGACTTTTTAGTATTTCATGCAATCTTAACAGATAGCCTTACAAGTACTTCCAGTGTCCCTAGCTGTCCCTCCTTTTTATATAACTCCATGACATTTATAATCTCGCGAAACTTAACAGGTAGCATAACAGATTAAAATCAGATGAGGTTTTGAACCAAAATTTCTAAGCAACGTTGTCAAGGATTTTGAGGAACTAGGGACAGAGTGTGGCAAAGTCCAAGATTTAATTTATCTTCATCTGTTTCATCAGCTATCTCATCTAATATGCCAATATTTTATTCATAACTCGTGGCAAACTCACTAACTTTCATTATGTTCATCTGCATGCTTCATCTGATAGAAAGTATGACTTTCATTAACTCTGTGAAATAATGAAAACTACTAGGGACAGAGACCATGGCAAAGTTTATGACTTTCATTATTTCCAGAACTTAATGAAAACTACTAGGGACAGAGACCATGGCAAAGTTCATGATTTAATTTATTCTCTCACTAACACCAAACACAAAACTCCAACACTAACGACAAAAATAAATGTCCTCACTTCTTAACAAAGTAATATGTGCTTCTTACACCACCATAGCTCAAACGTTTCTTTTCAAACATCGATTGAAACTTATTTTGAGCCATTGGCTTTAGTCTCTTTTTCTTCAAATACGCCAAGAAATCTTCTTCACATCTTTTCACTTCATAGCCTTCTTTAAACTCCTCCTTGTTAAGTTCTATGAAATCCTTTATCTCATTCTTTGTTGCAATGGCTTCTTCACGAACGACATCGTGAACTATTTCATCACTGTTCTCATGTATGACCTCCTCACTGTTCTCATGAACTATTTTCATCACTGTTCTCATGTATGACCTCCTCACTGTTCTCATGAACTATTTCAACACTGTTCTCATGAACGACCTCCTTACTGTCTTTCATAAGCGTTTCAAAGTCTCCTTTACTCATTACTTCAATCTCATGCTGTTCACAGTAGTACTTAAACTCACTGTATATGTCTTTGTTGTATGTTATATTGCTTCCCATGTACTCCATGAATTTTTCAAGCACTTCCTCATAATTCACTGTTTCTTTCTTTCCACGACCTTCTAATATCATACTTGCTTCGTAAATATAACTTCTTGCAGAACCGTCTCGCTTTCTACTTCTCTTCACAAATTCTCTCATCTTGCCACCAAATACATTTGAACTACATGCAAAGAATTCATTCTCCTTCGCAAATTCTTTATATCTTCTGTAGCACTCTGTACAATTCCATCCGGATACAAACTTTTCATAGAACTCCTCGTAAAACATTTGGTAAGGTGTTTTGTTCATTTCGATGAGTTCTTGTTTAGCCCTGGTGAATGGTATCTTCCTTACATCAAATTCACTTAAATCTTTCTCATGAAGTACGTCAGTAAGTTTGAATAAAACTCTTCATTAAAGCTTTCAATGAGATTTGAGAAATATTCGTAATTTCCTTTGTATCTGCTGCTTACGTCAATGACAACAAATCTTCTGTCGTCTTTGTCAATCTTTACTGAGTTGAAGTTGTTAGATATCATGATGATATTACAAACATTCTCTATCTTTCTTACTGGCTGACACTTCTGATTTAAGTCCAACTGAGTCTCTGTTACTATTGACTTTAGTGCGTCGTGGTTCATGACCTTAGACGTATCGCATGAGCTTAGTTCATTGCATACGATGAGCTTCATGTTCTCAATAGCAGCATTGAATCTACCAACCACATTCTCTATTGCCGTTATATTATTGTTGGCGTACTTGCTAATGAGCTCGCATAGAACATTACTAAGTACATTCTTACCAGTTCCTTGCTTTCCTATTAACAAAAGTACTGTTCCAGTCTTTCCACAAGGATTTTGAACGATGTAGGCGAACCAGTTCAAAACATACTCATAAAGCTCTTCATCCTCATTACATATGACATCGTGAACATGTTTCAAATATCCTTCAATAACGTTCTCATCTACTTCATTCAGTACCTCATACTCATATCCTCTGAAATAGCTGTAAATGTCATCTCTTTCGTCAAAGAATCTCATGCCTGACTTCATAAGATAGTTCTTGTTCTGACCCGCTTCATAAATCATCAGTGCGTTCACATCCTTCTCCTCAATACGTCCTACATAAATACTCTTCATGAGCTTATTGAATTCCTTGCTATCTACTGACACAAGTGTTGTTGTGTCTCGTATTCCATCATAATCTTTCACTAGATATGTCATACGTGCTCCGTCAATAACGACAACACATCTTCTTAAGTCATTTATAACACTAGCTATGTCAATACCTTCTTCACTCATGTACTTATTTCTTCTCAAGTCCTTTAGTGTGAAAGTGTCTCTAAGTTCTATTTCAAGCAATTCATTTACACATCCTTTGCAATACTTCTCTATAAAATATTTCTGTCGTTCTTTACTAAGTTTCTTAACAGCTCTGAAGAACCATGTGTTTTGACTCAAACATCCTTCACAACTTCTCTCATTCATTCCTAGTTCTTTCATGTCATTATCTTCAACCTCTATGGTCTCATTGACTAAGGTCAAAGGGTTCTTAGTCATTGCTGGTCTTATCTGAAACAATGTTTGTGCAACAGGTTTAACTAGTTCAGCAACGTCCTTCCTTAATATGAATAGCTGTTTCCACTCATCTTTGCTAACAGTTCTTTCATAACCACTGACAGTAATGATTTCATTTGCTGACCTTAGACGCTTATGTTCTATCATTTGTATTGCTTTTGTGTAAGGCTTTCGTGAGCATAGGTTGTATATGTCATTCCTGCAATGTTCATTCATGCCAATAGTACTAAATCCTTTCTTTGCTGTTGAGTGCATAATATCCATTAGTTCCTGTGTTCGTATTGCTGTCTCATAAAATACAACAAGACCTTTGTCATCTATGACATACTTACCGAAAACATTGCTTATATTCTTTAACCATGAAATAACATCCTCATTCATGCTGTCAAACATGAAGTAAGGTCTTACATACTCTTCACTTATAAGATACTCCACAAAGTACTTGTTAAACTCTATGTCCTCGTGAGTGATTTCATTAGGTTTGATATTAGTTCCTTTTGTCATTGCTGTCATGTACTTCACTCTCATAGTTCCTTTCAATAGCGTAAAAGTACTTCATTGTTTCATAACTGCTCTAAATTCTGTTCAAAATTCGTACAACATAACTTTTTATCATTAGTGAAAGAACATGAGCGAAACAACAACATCTAACATTACAGAAGAAGTCAATGACAATGCCGATGAAAACATTACAGAAGGAGCTAGTGAAAATATTGACGAGTTCAGTGAGGAAGAAGATATTGAGGACGTCAATGAGAACGTTAGTGGGGAACAAACTCAATGGGAAACATTGAGAAATCATGAAGATTATGAGATTTGTACGACATATCCTTTTACTATTCGTCGAAAGAAAAACAAACATATTAAGAGTGAACGCTTAAATAATTATGGTTATATTGTGCTTAGTTTAAACAACAAAATGTACTTAAAGCATAGAATTATTGCAGAACAGTGGATTGAAAATCCAAACAATTTGAAAGAAATAGACCATATAAATCATGATAGAACGGACAACAGAATCTCAAACCTTCGTTGGTGTTCTAAATCTGAAAACAATAGAAATAAAAGCAAGTATGGCGATATAGTTTATGAGTTCGTTGATGAAATATCTGACGAAGCTGTTGAAATAACAGCTTATGGTAAGCATTCGTTTGAGTTCTACTACTATGTTGAGAATGAGGACGCATTCTATTATTATACAGGTCTTAACTATCGAAAACTTCATATAAACTTTACAAAAACAGGTGCTGCTTATGTTTGTATGATAGATACAGAAAACAAGAGAGTAATCTTATGCATAAACAAATTCAAACGCTTGTACGGCTTCATGTAGGACAAACATTATTTTTCAACACTAACGCCAACACGTAGGACAAACATTCATGACTAACATTACTGTATAACATAAATGTTTTGTCATAGATTTAATCGTAAATGATTTGTCATGATCTCTTCATCGTAATGAGCGTTTATTCTTTGTCAAACATGAACGTTTATGCTTTGTCATGATTTAATCGTACATGTTTTGTCGAAACTTCTTCATCGTACATGTTTTGTCATGATCTCTTCGTTTATGTTTTGTCAATACTTCTTCGTCGTAATGAGCGTACATGTTTTGTCGAAACTTCTTCATCGTAATGAACGTATATGTTTTGTCGAAACTTCTTCATCGTAATGAACATATATGTTTTGTCATGATCTCTTCGTCGTAATGAGCGTACATGTTTTGTCGAAACTTCTTCGTCGTAATGAGCGTACATGTTTTGTCGAAACTTCTTCATCGTAATGAACGTATATGTTTTGTCGAAACTTCTTCATCGTAATGAACGTATATGTTTTGTCATGATCTCTTCGTCGTAATGAGCGTACATGTTTTGTCGAAACTTCTTCATCGTAATGAGCGTATATGTTTTGTCGAAACTTCTTCATCGTAATGAGTGTAAATGATCCAAAAATAATGTTTAGGTGAGATCTCACCTCTTTTCTCACCTCTTTTCTCACCTCATGAATTTTCATGATTTCTTCATCGTAATGAGCGTTTATTCTTTGTCAAACATGAACGTTTATGCTTTGTCATGATCTCTTCGTCGTAATGAGCGTACATGTTTTGTCAAACATGAACGTTTATGCTTTGTCGAAACTTCTTCATCGTAATGAGCGTTTATTCTTTGTCAAACATGAACGTTTATGCTTTGTCGAAACTTCTTCATCGTAATGAGCGTTTATGCTTTGTCATGATCTCTTCATCGTAATGAGCGTACATGTTTTGTCAAACATGAACGTTTATGCTTTGTCGAAACTTCTTCATCGTAATGAGCGTACATGTTTTGTCGAAACTTCTTCATCGTAATGAACGTTTATGCTTTGTCAGACATGAGCGTACATGTTTTGTCGAAACTTCTTCATCGTAATGAGTGTAAATGATCCAAAAATAATGTTTAGGTGAGATCTCACCTCTTTTCTCACCTCTTTTCTCACCTCATGAATTTTCATGATTTCTTCATCGTAATGAGTGTAAATGACCCAAAATATATTTTAGGGTAGAAGGGTAGATCTAACCTCATTTCTACCCTCTTGAATTTTCATGATTTCTTCATCGTAATGAGCGTACATGTTTTGTCATGATCTCTTCATCGTAATGAGTGTAAATGACCCAAAAATAATGTTTATGTTAGAATGTTAGATCTAACCTCTTTTCTCACCTCTTTTCTCACCTCATGAATTTTCATACGGAATCTCTTCTCTCGGTTTTCCGAGGGAAGCAATCATATGAGGAAATTCTTCTAAAAATTCTTTTGTCTGTTGGTTTTCAAACCAATGATATGCTTGCTTTGTAGAACGAAGAGTATTATAAGGCATTTTGTGAAGAATATAACAATCGCCGGAATTCAGACGGTTGCTTTTTATACAAAATTCACGCAGGAAAATTCTTGAGTTTTGGTTGAAAGAATACGGTGGAGCCAAAAGTGGCTCGACCTCAAAACAAACATTTTATGAGCTTGCTAAGGGCGTTATGAATGAATTCAAAGGTATTTGCATACATCCTGACCTCGTTCATTTTGTTGTTGAATTCAGCAAAAATAATGTTTAGGGTAGATGGTTTTAGGTGTCACTACGTCACCAGGTCACCAGGTTAATTAACTTCTCTTAAAATTACTGACAACATGACATTTAGACAACAGTCCAGGAAATAAACTTCATCGTTTATGCTTTGTCAAGGTTTCATCGTTTATTCTTTGTCAAACATGAGCGTTTATTCTTTGTCAAACATGAACGTATATGTTTTG